CCCCAAAACCCCAAAACCCCAAAACCCCAAAACCCCGTTGATCTTAATAATATTTTTGAGATTGAAATTATTTAGGATTAATTAATAATAAGTAGTTTTGATTTAATTCAAAAGCTTATTGTCTTTAGTAATTTCTAAATTGATTTTCTCTATAATTCTTCTATCGGAATAAATTTAATGACTTTTTTGTTGAAGTAAATTTCTTTTTGTATTATTTTTAGCACGTAAACTATAATCAGAATAATAGCCAAAAATAGAACTACCACAAAGACAGAAAAGAAAATAATAGATCTATCCATCAGACTTTGATAGTAATCTTCTATGTTTTTCTCAACTTCATCATTCATCTATACAAGTATTGGAGTTAGATAGAAAGAAATTGCATCTTGAAAATTGATATATCTTTAATCACTGATAAGAGATTTGAGTTCTGAGTCAGTGGGAGCTCTTAGATTTTCGTATTAAATTTGATACTTTCTGAATTCAGCCATCAAGTAGGTATAACTCTAAGACAATCCTTTGTTCAGCATTCCATTAATACTTTGACTACAAACTTAGAGTTCTATCTATACTAAGTTTTAATCTTTGTGGATAATTTTTTCAGAACTCTCACATAGTTGTTGATCCTCATATTTGTTAACAAGATTTTTGTCAAGTCTAAAAGATAAAGGCTGCGATTTTCTTAAGTCTTTAATTTTCATGTAGTTTTACTGGCAAAAATCAAATAGTCCATCAATTGAATTATTTAGGAATTCTACTTAAACAGTTTAATTTTGGATTAATCTTTGCCTCACAAATAGTGGTACTGATGAAAGACAAGGTCCTCTCATAAGGATTGTATTAAAGGCTTCTATTGAATTCTTTGTTTGAACCTTAGCCTCATTGTTAATCAAATATAGTGCTACAAAGAACATACAGTAAATTGAGGACAAAATCATTATTTTAATTCCGTTTAATATCTTTTAAGCTCTAAATCGTTGATGTATATCTTATATTATTTCCTGCAGTCTAATCTCATAGTTATCTCTCTTTTTTTCTAATTCAACTTTTTTTAGTATTTTATTTCTCAAATTCCCTTGAATCGCATTATCCTTACTCTTTAATTGTATCAGAGATTTTTAATCTAATGTCATTTCTTTCTCATCTGTTTAAGAAATTTATTGAATTTATGAACCTGATTCAGATTCAAATTGTCTTTTATCATTTATAGATTGCTCTAGAATTTCATCATCGCCTATAACTTATTCTTTTTCTGTGTCTTGCAGTAATGAATTGTGATCATCAAAATTTTCATAGTTTACTTCTTCTATCTGCTTAGCTTTGTTAAAAGATAAATCTTAGAGGAATTAATCTAGTCTTACTTGAGATTATATCGCTGTATTTAGCTTTAATCTTGCTAGCATTTAAATTACCATTTTTCTGTTATTTATTGTTTTAATTAACACTGGAAAGAATGCTATACTGCAGATAAGGGAGATAAATATTCCCCCAAGTTAATAATACATAATCGAAGTCAAGGCTTCAGATTACCTATCAACTATTCTTTGAATCATTTATTAGCCCAATTTAAAAACCCTTTTACCCAATGTATTCACAGCATTTTTATCGACAAAATAATAATCTCTTTCAAAATCTCTAAAAGTATAATTTTTTTAGAAGTCTTGATATCTGAACTAGCAAAAGCAAGATTAGTTTTAGCTTGCAATTAGCATTTAAACTTTCGAAATCAATTGCTAGATACCTGGTATTAAATCATAATCATAATGAGAAACAACTCCGTTTGGTTATAAATTGATTAAATTTACTACCTCAATCTATAAGTTATTCTCATCAATTAAAATTTCCCATTACTAATTTTCAAATACATATTCATTAATACTATTCATTAGTTATTTCAATTTTTATATCTTGCTTTCAATCTGATATTAGAGCAACTTCCTTCGATTATTTATTACGCTACTCATATTTAGAGACCTATAATTATTAACTTAGATGAGCTCCTAAGTATTTTTCTTCAATTCAATCAACTCATAAAATAAGTCGTTTGATTAATAAAATTGTTTTAAATTAACGAGAAAGCTTTTATCGCTAAGATTTGAAATCCAAATTATTGCAACACTCAATCCAAGAAATATTAAAAAGTAAGCCATGAAAATTTTCTGAAATATTCCTATAATTTTTGGTGCTTTTTTAATCTCAAATTCACTCTTCATGTTTTAAATTTAAGATAACTATCTAGACTAAGAGCTAGATACACTAGAGTTAGTAACTGAACCATCATATTGCAAACTTCCCTCTATTTAGTCTATTTTCTAACTTTCTTGATCATGGATAAGAAGATCAACTGCCTTTGCGAATGTTGATACCTTTTAAAATCCAAAGTAAAATACCCCAAATTAGAAATATTTATGGTTGAATAAATAACTTGTGTCAGCTTTTAATATTATTTTTAATGTCTTTTATCTGACGAAATTATATTTTGAGTATTATTATTCTTTTAGGGATAACATCTTGCTTTTATTTTTATTTTCTAACGAAATTTTAACGCCATTTTCCTCAATATCCGAATCATTGATCTCTGTCTCTTTAAACATCCCATTAGATTACATAGGAATATCATCACTTTAATAGTTGAATTCCTATTCATTAAGATTAAGAATAGTTGAAATTCCTTCTTAAATGAGTTAATTCTCGATATTTTTTTAGGCATCAAAACACATTTCATAGAAATTTTAATCTGAATTTCTCATATCTTAAGAATTTTGGAATTATAATAAAGCAGCAAAATTTGATGAAGAGTTCTTAATTTATCCAAATTAATCAACAATTACAGTGAATATATCAATTGCAGATAACTCTTAATCCTTGATTATCATTTGATCTGAGACTTTAATATAGGCAATGAATTGCAAACCCTTTATCTAATCATAAAATGGTTGAGTAATAAAGTCTACTAAAATCACGAAACCATTTGAGTCCTTGATCCATAGATTTTTTTTGCTGTTGATAAAACTAGAGTAATTTTTGCCAATAAAAAACTATTCTAAGCAGGTATTGTGCGTAATTTCATCAATCACACTAGGAAAAAGGAGTGATATATTGGAGTTCTTGAGTTTATCTACTTTATATCTAGTGATTTGAGATATTTCATAGTTTATCATTCCTATTCTGCCAAGGTTTTTCATTCCACTCATCAATACTACGATTCCTATTTTCTTGTTTAAATCGAAAATATCATTTTGAAATTCCATAGTTCTAAGATTCTGAATTCTCCTCTTTTAAATTACTATTCCTAGTTCATTTTATTCTTTAAGGGAGTCATTTTCATAATTGATTACGAATTTTAGGAACTTATAGTAGATTATAATGATGTTGTAATAAGATGGCTGGATCTCTCTTATTTTTCTATAATACTTGTCAGAGTTTATTGAATCCTTTGTGATGTGGAGACTAATTTCGTGAAGCTTAATGAAGTCTAATTCTTTCTCTTTGTTACTCACCATTTTCCAAAATATTTAGCAATTATTAACTGTTTGCTCCATTTATACATACAATTTTTTGAGTATTTTCTCTGTCTTAATTGATTTTTGAATTTGCTGAATTTCAAGGCTTTACTAGTTCAAATTGCTTAATCAAATATTTACTTTTTCAAAAATTATTTTTTGGTAGCAAAAGATAGCAAACTATTCTTGAATAGAAAGCTTAACTTATCCTAGAGAAGATATTAAATAGAGTGCTTGTAAATCATTACCAAGTATATCAGTCAATATATAGGCTTGAATAATTCTCATTCTGTGTTAGTCTTAATCAGTATAGGAAAGGTCAAGCCAATTTAGAAGAATATTAAGGTATACTAATTGCTGTGAATTAAACAGTTTCCCTAGATTTCCTTGGTATTTAAGCAATTTATTTTTATCACTAATATCTTCATTTTTAACTCTATCTATATTTTCCATAGAATTATCTCCCAGTTTAGATTTTATCATTAACTACTTTTACTGATCGTCACTTATTTTATCTATCAATTTTTCAAACCTGCAATAACATTTTTTATTTAAACAAGATTACTTGTGATTCTTAACTAATCCACTTAAGATTAACTAATCTTAAATTGAAAATTCCATAATACATTCAAGCATTCTATATGCGTAGATTTCCTTTCCAGTTATACTCTTTAATGCTAAAAAATTAATATTAAGTTTGTTGTTCCAACTGCTTTTTTTTAATACATATACCAAGTAAGCTAAGGCAACATTTATCATGAGAGCAATCACAAAATCTCCATTTTCTACTTAGAAATTTACAGCATTAATTAGTACACACAATGCGTAATTGAATACACAAATTGAAATGCCAGTAACTTCAATCTCAGACAAAAACTTAGAAAAATTATATGATTAGTTGAATCTAAGATAGAGTTATATAAGGTAAATAAGACTAGCGGCAATAAACATGATTGATGTTATGGTATCTGGCAATCCTGAGAAATAAATCGAGAAGCAAAAATATTTCAGAATTGGCATCAGAATAGTAAGTCTTTTCTAATTAGATAGAATTCCTGTTTCTCCATTAATACCCATAAATTAGAAATTGTAGATATTCTCAATAAAGTATGAATTCAATAGGAATGCTATTATACCCAGTGATGATACAATTGCTGAATCAACATTTGAACCTTCTAGACAAGTAAAATTCTCAACATATACTTAGCAGAAGATATTAACGCACTGAGCAGCAATAATTATAGTAGAAAACAGGGTGTGCACAGAATATAATATTATAATCATAATGTTTATTTTCCAAGAGGCTCCGCGTCTTCGAGGTTTGTTAGGATCAGTTGTAAACAATATCATCAAAAAATAGAATATTCCAAACACTAGAATCATATTGATACCGTAGTTTACTTCATTAACAAAGAGCACTTCGTTTACAAAATACTCTAGTCGAATAGAATGAATAAAGAGGTTGGACTTATTTGATGATAACTGCACTATTCTTAAAAAAACGATTAGTATGTTGTTCAAAATATAGTCTATAATTAGCATGATACCAGCAAGCCTTGGATTAAAATGAATAATTGAATGCATTTCAAATATTAGATTAAAGAGCTTAAGCAAAGTTCTATCAAAAAACTTTTTCTTAGTCTATTATGATTTCATCAATGCAAATGATTGTCAAAACTATTTTTAAATTTATATTTCTTTCTCTTTAAAAATTAATGAGGTTTGGACGATTGGGGTTTTGGGGTTTTGGGG